AGCACATATGTGTCTTTTGCAAAAACAAAATGTATATATGTCTAAAGTTTTTTTTTATTCTTCCAATCCTTCATTATTATTATTATAATAAATAAATTGCTATTTTCGTCACATGTCGACACCCTATTATATATATATTTTTATATTTTTAAACGAACCGCTAGTTTTTAACTTCATGTTTCGAAAGCCTTCAAATATTTATTTATAAAAACGTGATAAAAATCTTTCATATTTATAATACAAAGATCTTTCACTCCACTCTTACCTCCATCGCCACGCAACACTCTCTCTGGTCCGATTTTCTTCTGCCGAAAACTTCCTCTTATTTTCATTTCACACAAACCAAACATGCAACCACCAGTTGCCGACTTCTCATTAAACCTTCCAAAAGAACAAAACTTAGTGATAATTTCCCTCCTCTCCTCAATTCTCCAGCAACATCACCTCCGTCTCCGGTGATCACCAAGCCAACACATCACCATTTAAACCCTCTTCAAAAGCTAACGTCTTCGATGTCGACAATATTGAGTCTTCCCTTATTGTACCAATGGAATATAATCACCCACTTCCTAAACCGACTGACCCGACAGTTTAATTATCCGGTAATTTTGCTATGGTTAATAAAATGTTCAGTTTAAAATGGTTTAGAAGTCGTTAGTCAGATTCCTTCTTGTTTAATTTACGAGGAGTCTACGTTCGTAACGGAACTAACCCTATGTTTCCTTTGTTAGTCAGACACCATCTATTTGACGGTGACAGAATGATTCACGCCGTTAAAATCGGTTATGATAACCGAGTTAGTTACAACTGCCGGTACACTCGAACAAACTGGCTTGTTCAAGAAACCGAGCTAGGAAGACCGATTTTTCCTAAACCCATCGGTGAGCTTCACGGTCACTCAAGCTTAGCTCGACTTGCTCGTATGACTCGTTTGAGAGATGTGAGTTCTCTCCAGGGATGTGAGTTTCCCTGTCTTTTCTTTGAGAGATGTGAGTTCTCTCCAGGGGATGTGAGTTTCCATGCATGCCAAGAGCTTGATGAACTGTGTGTCCCGAGAGTGTGAGTGGTATGGAGCATACCGAGAGTTTGAGGGACTGTGGTCCAGAGGGTGGGAGTGGTATGGTGCACCGAGAGCTCAAATGATGACGATCCTGAGAGTGTGAGTGGTGTACATTTGAATTAAGAGCAACTAATGTCTGAAACGTGATTATAAGTATGAGACTGGATGTGAGCCTCAGAGATCGGGAGTATTAATCTCAGGTGGTGCTGGCCGGGTTGGTCAGGTGCGTTGATCGTAATACGACGGTGTTGCGTGATTCTATGTCGAATCCGTGTTAGTGGGGGAGAATTGTAACGCCCACGAACCAAAATGACGAGTTTTTGGT